CCAGGCGGACCTCTCTGGGGAGCGCATTCCATAGAGGTCCGCCTGGCGCCGTCGTTATTTGTTTTTCGGCGCCAGGCTAAGACCTTTTTATTTAAAACTTATTTTAATTGCTAAATTATTGAATTAATTAGGATTTTAAAATTAGCCGAGAATGCACCGGGGGTTTTTAAATGTTTTTTTTTCCTTTAAATTGTTATATTATGATTATTTATGTATGTTTGTTTTTATGTATTTTTTGTGAGCCGCCCCAAGGCTTTGTTGCGATGGGGGCGGCATCAAAATGTTTTAAATAAATAAATAAGCTCTCCTCTGTGCCTAATGATGAAACTCTAGTGTTTGTTGATATCAATACAATATAGTGGCACCTCGGCCCACAAACTTAATCTGTTCTATGATTCTGGTTGTGACCCAAACTGGGCACAAGCCAAGTCAAATTTCCCTATAAGGTTCAATGTAAATAAGGTTAATTCATTCTTTAGCATAACTTTATGTTATACATAAAGGATGGTATATAAAAGTTTTAAATATGTAAATAAATAAATATGTAATTTTTTAAAAGCACAAAAATACAGTATGAGCCACGTCCCCGGGTGGCGGGCCAAGCCGCAACTAACTTCTCAGGAAAGGCCACTGGTGCCGAGCAGCAGTCATGATTCTTCCCCTGCGGCAGTGAGAGGTGGGAGGCGCCCCACTTGTCCACGGCCCTGTCCCTCACCTCCTCTTGCCTCAGCCTACGAAAATAGCCCTTACCTCCCTCCTCGCAGCCCCCTCCCAGCCAGGGGAGCCGTTCCGGACCTGCCTCTCCAGCCTCCCACTCCTGCTCCCCCTCCCAGAGCCTGCAAGGGGACCTTCCTCTGTCTCAGAAGCAGGGCAGCTGCAAGGAGCCGGGAAGGCCTCGAAACAGGTGAGCGTGCCCTCATGGCTCCCCCTCGTGGTGGGGAGGAGGTTACTGTTTGGAGCAGGGGTCAGCAACCCATGGCTCCGGAGCCACATGTGGCTCTTTCATCCCTCTGCTGTGGCTCTGTAGCTCAAACTATGCGTCACAGCTGCCAATGTGTGACAGCCACCGGCACGCAATTTATTGAGCTTTTCGACCCCCGGTAAGCCAACCATGGATAAATCTAAGAAAAGAAAAGTTTTAAAAGAAAACTGAACGTTTAATGGTACGTGGACAGATTCATTTGCTTTCATTGCTGACGAGACTGGTTTACCAGTATGCTTAATATGTGGTGAGAAATTGGCAAACAACAAAAAGTCGCATGTTGCATGACATTTCCAGAATAAACACACAGCCTTTGCTGAAAAATATCCGGATGGAAATGAGAGGAAAAAAGCCACTTTGGAACTGATGCAGAAGGTTGATCTGAGCAAAAATCATAATTTAAGTTCAGCTTTTTATTTCATAAATACCAGGAGGACTCAAATAGACATTGAGTATTTTATTTGAAAGTAACCTTCAACCCAGCATCTTTTTGAAAATGTTTTTGTTGCATGCAGAAATAAAAATTTGTTTTCTCTGCAGCAGTTCATTGATTTCATAAATGCAACACACTATAATTTTTTTATACATAGCATAAGAGTAAAAAATGATATAAGCAGTGTTATCTTCATTTTAGATGTCAAAAGGGTTTTGTGGCTCCCTGTGTTTTCTTTTCTGTGGGAAACGGGTCCAAATGGCTCTTTGAGTGTTTAAGGTTGCCGACCCCTGGTCTGGAGTGTTTGTGCAGGAAGATGGCCGCAATCGTGATTGTGTTTGTGCGGGGTCATGGCTGCAATCATGGTCATCACCTGATGTGGAGTTCGCAAACTGAGGCAATTTTTTTTCCGAAATTTATGTTCACAACCCGATTTGGTTGTGAACTGAGGCGTTCGTGATCCGAGATACCACTGTACCTTCTGCTTCACCAACAATATTCTCAAATACCAATTCGCAACTCTGCCAAAAATAAGGTGAAATCGAGGAAACTTACAATGCTGTTGAAGATGCGATAAGCACAACATCTAAGTCATCCATATCTGGTGGAGTGTCAAGTCATCAGGATGTTACAACACCAAATTTCAAATTATCCGAACACAATCCAAAACACTTTTGAACATTTTCCTCAAAATGACACAGATGTGCAGCATGTTTCAAGTTTCCTAACGTAATAAAATTGTTTTCAAGCAGTACTCAAAGACGCATTTGAGTATTTACAAGAATTAAGATAATTCAGAAACATCTAGAACAATTCTATCACAGTGAACACATTAAAGTGCTCCAACTGTGTGAACCTCAACACCTATGGAAGCCACACAGATTTCCTCTATAGTGGAAAAAAAAACAACCCAATATTCAAGGCCAAGAAAAAATTAGAAGACAAAGTTGGTGCCCTCTGCCTACATCTCCTAATAGAGATGCAAAAAAAATAACAGAGTATAGATTTTTTTTTTTTTGCTGAAAGAGTGATTGTAATTCAGCATTTGCTTCTTTGTATAATTGTGTAGAATTGACAGAAATGACTGGATTGCAATATCAGTCCCACAAAAAAAAATTATACTGAGTATTTTAGAACATGGCAGAGACCGTCATCCGTGTAGTGACTGAATACACTGGCACCTGTCCCCGAATTGTGATGGCACTGTGATTTAAACCAGGACTGGTGAAATTAATGGAGAAATTTTACAAAATGCTAGATACACAGACCTCAGACTGGAAGAATATAAGGAGAAACTTCAACTTGACAGCATCAATTAAGTTCACAAGAAGATTTTTCCCATTAGTCCATTTTGTTGATTGTCCAACAAATACTTAAATGTGGTAACACTTGCAGTGCATCTAATGGGCACAAGTATCACATTGGATTTCCCTCTATGTTTCCAAAGTGTGCCAAGACACAAATACTTGTTACACTACAAAAATACATGTCTGTTTTGTTCCTTTAATCCTCATCTCCTGACTCGCACCGCTTATAGTAAGGGACTTCGCTTCTAAGTGGTGCTCCATCAATTCCTGGTGGATTTACCCTCACATGTTTTACCATGTAATATGAACATTAAATTTAAATTTATCTGAAAGTCAGACCTGAATTGCTCCCAAAACCTTGCAACAGATTTGCAGATGAATGGTTACCATGCAGTTTTCAGCCTGCCATTGTGTGAAGAGCCTCTCTTCTATGACATTAGCACCTATAATCCTTTGTATACCACAAAGAACCTTCAGCATATTTTCTGGGACACCAACCATCCTGTGAGATGGATTCTAATTAATTTTAATCAGAGAAGAGGGTTCCCAGTCCCTCAATTATATTTTTTGTGGAGAGGGTTGTCCACTATATATTTGGGAGGGAAGATAAATCTCACCAAACCTTAGCAAGGCATTTTCACTTGTACTTCTCTTATGTTCTTGTCCTTCCTTCCTTCCTTCCATCTTAATTTTTCTAATCAGTCTTATTCACTCTCTCCGTTTCATTTTTTTAATCAGAAAATTTTGGGGGCATGTTCACATATTGTGGGTGGAGGGCTACACCAGCAGTCAAAACCTAGTGTCTCACCACACAACAGCCATATCTTCAGAGAATCACAGCGCAGTTAGGGAAGGAGCAGAGATGGCTGGTGATGGCTGCACAGTAACTGAACAAAATAACAGGGAGCATGATAACATGAATTGTTCTTGGACTAAACGGGGGCTGCTTCCAGATGGAAAGCTCCTTGTGATACATAGTGGAAGGCTTTGTACTCCTATTCCATCCTTTCTTCCTTAACAGACTAGGATTTGTTTTTTAAGGTAGGAAACTCAGAAGGCCTACAAATGGAAGATAGCATTAGGCCATCTGCAACCCTGCAACAGTAAATTCCATATCTGAGGCAGGGTGGATGTGGCATGAAAACTTTGACTGGATGTACGCAGGCTGAAAATACACTGTGTACATTTTCAATCATGACTGAGAAGCCATGGCTAACCAGTGGAATGAATGTCCAAGTAGGTTTTTTTGCATGAGAAACAATGAAGTGATAAACGGGAGATCAGTGGAAGGAAAGTGAGAAATCAGATCAAGAGTACAACCAAGAGCAAGGACAGGATTGCCCCATACATTAAGGGATTACACCCTTTAATCTTCTTTTGAAAAAAGTAGTGTAATGTTATACACATTTTTCTAGGAGTGAGTTTTACTGAACTAAACAGGGACCTGTTTCTGAAAAGGAGCATAGGATTAAATTGTAAATATCCCCTTCTGCTCTCAGTGTTTTTCTCACTTTTCCACTTCTGTAATTTTGCTAATGTTTTATATCTCCGACCGACCTCCTCGAATCTGAGCCTGCCAATCCAGCCTGCCACTACCATTATTCCCAGCTGTAACCACTGTTGACTGAGAATGATGGGAGTAGCAGTTCAAAATACGCAGAGGGCACCAGCTTGGGGAAAGTATTTTGGATAATCATCCATCCATTTCCGCAGAGCGTCGTCTGCAACCGACAGTTTATGGATCTCAGCCAGAAGGCAGCGATGTCTTCCTGTAATAAAAGTCACTTGTTCGTAAAACCGTGGGCTGTTGGGGATTTTTTTTCCTTTTGGTCGTCGCGGGACAAGCAGGATTATTTACCTTCCGCGGCCTCCTGCAACTTCCTTCTTCGTTGCAGAGGCAACCTCAAACAAGCGAGCCAGGTGCTAGTTCCACACGAACCTCGCGCCCGGGGACGGAGAGCTGCCGCCGAGGCCGCCCCGTCGGGCCGGAGATCGGGCTCACGCTCCGGTCCTTGATGCGCTGGGCACCACGAGCCCGATGCCCGGGGCCCGGGCTACGCCCGGCAAGAACGACCTGCTCTTCCCTTTCTTCTCGGACTTCAAGGGCCCCGACGGCGTGGCGCTCACCGCCATAGAGACGGCCGCGCTGGCGACGATTTTCGTGCTCGCCTTGGCGGCCAACGCGTGCGCCATCCGCCTCTTGGCGCGCCGCCCGCGCCGCCTGCGGACCGCCAGCTGCTTGGTGCTCAACCTCTTCTGCGCCGACTTGCTCTTCATCAGCGCCATCCCGCTCATCGCCGTGGTGCGCTGGACCGAGCGCTGGACGCTGGGCGCCGCCGCCTGCCACCTGCTCTTCTACCTGATGAGCCTCAGCGGCAGCGTCTCCATCCTCTCGCTGGCCGCCGTCAGCCTGGAGCGCATGGTCGGCATCGTCCGGCTCAGGCCCGCGCGGCCGTACCGGGGCAGGCTGGTGGCCGCTGCCCTGCTGCTCATCTGGGGCTTCTCGGCCCTGGTCACTCTCCCACTCTCTCTATTCTTCCACGTCGAGCCACTGAACAGAAAAGGCCAGGTGAGTTGGTCGTGGCGCTGGTGTTGATCGCAGCCAACTGGCAATCTGAAATGGGCAAGGGAATCGCTTTCCTTGTCGGAGTAAAATGGGGGTATTCCTCCAGATGGCCTACAACTCCCAGTTTTTATTATAATTATTGGTTTGCACCCTTTTTTCCTCCAAGGACCTCATGGTTCTCAATTTTCCTCTTGCAGCAGGTTGGCCTTCCTTTGCTGGAACATTTAAGCAGAAGTTGCTCAGCCATTTGTCAGTGATCCAGCGGCATCCTGCATTGATCAGGCATTAGGCCCCTTCTATAAAATGATATTATTCTAGTATCTATAAAATCAGGTTGTGCATCACTATTTTTATTTCAGGAACATAAGCAAAATATGAATGTTTCTTAGACTGCAATTACTTGTGTCCTGACTAGCAGGAATGCCCACTAGATTCCCCCATGGATTCATTGGAGGGAAAGCCAGAGGGAGGAAAGCTCATTGCCTTCACATTGATGTGTTTTAAAGGAAGTTAATGAGTAATTGATCCATGCTAAATTATTCTCATAGGAAGATGGATTTTTTTTTATTTTGATCTATGTTCCACACTTAATAGAACGTTTCAGAAAGCTTAAATATAACAGAAGTTAAAATTCAATCAATTAAAGTGCACATTTTCTGATACCTTAACTATAACCTCTCAAAGCCAGGTAAGTCAGTCCTATAACACATTTGAAAAATATTCAACATTGGGCTGGAGAGCAGCTTCCAAGTTTTTTCAGCCTTGCTTCCCTACATATGGGCTTCCTGTGCATACAGACTAGGAGTTTCACTTCACTTTGTTAACCAGCCAGATTCATAAACCATGGGTTGAAGTTGGCCTGCTTTGCAATTCACCAAATTTTATTTTCAAACATTATTCCTGATTTGTACATAATTAACAGGCCAAGGATTGGAGAAAGAAAAAGTAGGCTGCTGTTAAATCTCTTAACTGCGATTACCTCCTGAATAATAAATTCTCTATACTGTTAGCCATTTGAGTTTGCCCGCAGTTCCGTGCAAACCTTCCTCATCTGAATGGCTGCAGAGTCAGGGCCAAACTATGTGCTATGTTAAATATACAGTGGATGGCCAGTACTAATACCTTCATGTAACTGTATGCAGGACCAGTCTGAAGTGGCACCACTGTGCTTGTGTAGGGTGGGTTCAACCCTTCCCACCTAGCCACTTCCGCCCAAAAAATTCACTACCACCATGGAGACTTAAAAAAGAAATACTGATTTTTAGGTAAGGATGAACATGGAACTGGAGAAAGTGAAACTGGACCATGGCTTATTTCTCTTCCCAGTCAGGCAGAAAGAGAGGTCACATTTTGCTAGGCCATGGGAGGCTGGTGGATGCAAGGATAAAGAATAGCTTAACTCAGTCCCCAGATGTTGGATTGCAGTTTCCCATAATCTCTGCTTCTTGAGGATGATGGTAATTATACTCCAACAACAATTGTAGAGCTACTCAGGGAAAGGCTGATAGGTGTCTGTGTTGAAGTATGTGATGATCTAAGAATGCATCATGGTGAAATGTTCTTTCTGGGTGATGTTCTTTATTGGAAATGAGTGGCTTATTCTCTAGTAGGGCAGCATCCCCCAATCTGGTGCTGTTTAGAAATTTTGGACTTCAATTTCCATCAGCCCCAGCCAGCATGACCAATGGTCAGGGATGCTGGGAGTTGTAGTCCAGAAGACCAGGTAGGAGAAAGCTACCTTAAGCCAAAAAAGGGAACAGGACACAGACATACTCTGGTTTTATTTATTACCAGTGAGAAAAGTCAAAGGATATTCCACAGCTATGATACTATGAAATAAGAGACAATTTAAAATAAGGGGTATATGAAGATAAGAGCATGAACTATAAATCACCAGGATCCATAAACTAGGCAAACCTCTTTCTCTCTCTCAGCTTCACACGCTTGCACACATCCCAAAAGCGATATGAGGGTTATCATAGTGTTTACTTTTCAAAGCTGTGCTCAGACTTGCTATGTTAATTGATGTGAAGTGCTCTGAAAATGTTAACGTGAAGGATGACTATGATAATAATAGTGTATCATTGTTGTTGTTATGGGATCCACAGTCCATAGATCATCGGGCATCAGCTTTGTTTTTCTTTTGGCACCAGGCTGAATCCTATTTATCAATTGTTTATATTTAACTGTCTGTGATGAGCCATACTGGAATATTGTTCTGCTGTGTTGTTTAATGCTTTTTGCTTGTATTTTTTTATTCTTCTTTCTTTCAATCATTGTAAGCTTCTCTGAAATCTTTGGCTGAAAAGTGGATGAGAAATAATGCAAATATTTTTAAAAAAAGAATGCTTTCATTCTGACTGTGGAGAAGGAGTAACTGTAAGGTTTAAACTTATTTAGGTTGAAAGGATTGGCAGACCATCTACCACAAAAGCCTGTGGATTTCTTTACCAAAAGAAAATCTATGTTGGATATATAATTTGGAGCAGCAAAGTGGAAAGAGCACTTAATTTTTCCCTGCTCCACATTATCTGCACTCCTTCTGTAGCGTTGCAAGTTTGGAAATACAGGCAGCTTGCTTTGATTGCTATTGGGAACATAATAAGTGGATTTGGACTAAAGCAGTAGTGGGTACAGGATCTACTTCAAATAGCCTTCAATTTCCCTCTCTTTAGGAACGGTGCCCATCAGACATTTTTACATGCATTTCCATGTCACATGCAATTAGGTGCTTGCTGCGTGAACCTGAGTACATCTACTCAGAAGTAAGTTTCCGGGACTTACTCCCAGGTGAGGATTGTAGGACTGCAGCCTCAGCCTTATCCAACTTGGTATCTTTCGGAGGTGTTGGACTATATCTCCCATCAACCCACGGTCATTGGCTATGTTGCCTGGAGGTGATGGGAGTTATAGCCCAACACCTCTGGAAGGCAGCAGGATGGGTAGCAGGCTCATCCAATATGACTGGAGAAGATGGGAGTTGTAGTCCAAAACCTCCAGAGGGCAACAGGTTGAGGTCTTTGAGAGTGCATTCCCCAGCTCTCTTTCACTATTTCACACAAATATGCATAAAAGCAAACAATTCCCAGGCAATTAAACCAAGGAAGGAACAGTTCCAGTACTCAGATTGTTGACATTTGGGAAAATATTTCAAAGTTATAGATAATCTCTAGCTTTTTGTAGAATCCCAGAGTCAAGTAAAACATTAGGAATTAGACTGCACAAGTCAGTTTGCAGGTGTTCAAAAGCCAGGTGTGTGTTCTTCAAAGGTGAGGCCAGCCCTTATTTCCTGGATCTTTGAGTACTTCACCACAAAGCACATAATGTAGGCAAATCAAAGGAGTTTGTGTAGGCTGAAATATGCTTATTTGCATGATTCTTAATTATGTAAACTGCTTTGAATACTTGGAGGAAAGCACCTAAATGGATCAATCAGTGCTAAGAAATTTAAAGTATCTGGGGAGATTGGTAACTGATGAATCACAATTTCCAAGAAGACTCATGGTGTTAGAGCTTGAATAAGCAACCATATTATATGGTTCAGCCTTCTGCTGCAACGTGGGGTGAAGCAAGTTGGACCCCGCTTCACCCTCTAGGCTAATTTATGCCAGCCAGATAATACCATGGTACAAAATGGCTTGAACAGATGGATTGCAGGTGCTTGTAGACAATGTTGGGGTCTCAAGTCGAGTGATTTGCTCTCAAGTCCAACTTGACTCAGACTTGACTTGAGAGAATTTTGAGATTTCTGTTGTTCTTACAACTGAGTCACTTTTTGGCACGATGGAGGTGGTGGGAGGGAGGGACAAGGAGGTGGGGCGGGAATGTTGCAATACAGGTAATCCCCAGGTTACATACTTACGAATGTGCAGATGCCATAAACCCTATGTTAATATGTCTAATGAAAAGCCATGAATGTCTCTAGGAACCTACACAAAACATTTGATAACATATCATCAGTGGGTGTGTGTGTTCCTAGAGATATTCATGGCTTTTTGTGGAGATAGAGATTCACTAGAGATATTTGTGGCTGTTCATTCTACAACCTCATCTTGAGCATACCCAAGTCAATATATCTTGGGCATGTGTAGGGCCTCAAGTACAAAGCAGAACCATGGCAAAACAATTTTTGGGAAAGACAGAAGCAGAGGTGCTCAGATGATTTCTCTCTACTCCTCTGTTGTTATTGTTTTAAAACTGGAAATCCTGTTTGAGACTTCACTCAAAAATTTCTTGCAATGACTTGAGACTCTACTTGGATTTGAAAGTAAAGACCTGAGACTTGACTCAAGACTTGGAGTAAAGGACTTGAACACATCACTGCAAAGTGAGCCACACACTGTAAATGTAGTTTAAATAAAGTTTTTTTTTGATTTAGTGCCATCCAGATACATTGGACTACAACTCCCATCCCAGTGCTTTCTCTTGGAAGCACATTTGTAGTGTCTGAGTAATCTTAAACCAGCTGCATGCTAGCACACGTGGCCTTCTTGTCCTCCAGCCAGTTTTACCACCTGGTCATCAGGCACCAAAAGATTCTGAGATTTGGCTTGCAGAGCTCCTAGCTAAATTAGGTTCAGTTAGTTCAGTTTGTTATTGTTTTATTGGTTTTAATTGTACGTTTTTAAGCTGTCCCGAGATGCCGAGGCATGTGGTGATGGCATATAAAAGTGTTAAATAAATAAATAGTATGGCATGTTTTTGGGTCCTGTTAGCTGATCACATTAGCAGAGCCAAGAGGACCAAATGGGTATGAACCCGCAGCTGTAATTTCTGCCCTAATTTGCAATTTACATTATTGTATTATTCTAACTGTTGAAGCACAGACTTTGTATGCAAAGGGAGAGCAAGAAAAGGTTCTTTTCAGCTTCTCTGTTTAACTGTTCTTTAACTTTCAGCAACTGTGGAACAATATGTACAAAACTATGTTTATTGACGATGTGCTGATCAGCCTCTTCAAAGTGTTCATTTGTCTATGCAGTAGATTGTATCATTCATGTGGAGGTTACTGAAATTCTGTTGCACCTTCACACCATACAAAAAACAGACAAACAGAAATGCAAGATAACATAGGCAATAACATGAGAATGTAAACAGTTAGAGTAATTGGGATATGTATTATTAATATTATAAATAGGCATTAATAAGTAGGATAATAAGCACTCAATCCTATATTTATGTGGCTTGCAGCTGTTTGAAGGAAATCACGTTTAATACTGGAAAAAGGAGTCTAGAGATTATTGGGGCTTCTTGTATTTGTCAAGCTCTTTAATTATATTGTCGTATTAGTTCCCTTTCATTTTTACATTCCAAATGGTGTGAGTTTATAGCCTTTATTTGAACATGCTCCACAATAAAATAATAAAACAATTTTATTATTAACTCTTTCTTAGTTTTTGTTTGGTTAGTGTGATCTATTCTTGTAAAAGACACCATAGTTTCCTACTATGGAAACTATGGCAAAAGCAAATGCCCAAGCTAAATTCTTACAGAAGTTTTGTTCTTTGCTTACAGAAAGAGTACATATGCACCTTGATTTGGCCCAGCATTGCAGGAGAAATCGCTTGGGATGTCTCTTTTGCCACTGTGGTCTTTCTAATACCAGGATTGGTCATTGTAATTAGTTATTCAAAGATTTTACAGGTATTTGTCTGTGCTTTCTTAAAAATATATATACTAAAAGAATTACCTGCAGTTAAAATTCAAGCAGAGATATAGAAAATGGATGTTTAGCTCAGGGGTAAGGAACCTATTTCAGCACAAGGGTTGAATTCAGTATTGCAGAACCTCTTACGGGATACATTCCAGTGCTAGGTATAAAGGTTTTCCCATGACATTAAGTCGTGTCTGACTCCATGGGGCAGTGCTCATCTCCATTTCCTAGCTGAGGGAGCCAGTGTTTGTCCGCAGACAGTTTCCGTGGTCATTTGGCCAGCCAAGGTACACAGAATGCTACAGTAGGTGTGTATAAAGGTGTTGCTACCAAAAAATACCAACATATTATAGCATAAAGCTCTTACTATTAATAACTGAGCCTCAGGAGAAGCATTTCAACCTCTTAGAAAAAGGGACACAAAAGTTGGGAAACTATAAAACATTTTGTAGCTGGGGGAAAGTGGTAAGAACAGGGAAAGGACGCATGATCATCTGGAAACCCCCAGAAGGCCAGACTAGAATCCCAGGCTGGGACCTCAAACCTGAATTTCCCCACTTCCACCTTGTGGACAGTAATAGCAGAGCAGAAACAGTCAGTGTCAGAGTTCAGACAAGGATTAGGTTGAGCTTGGTTGTTGAAGCACGGGTTTACATGTTGTCTTAACCCAACTAAGGGAGCAAACCATGATGAGCAATGCACAGTTCATAACCCAGCAACACATCATGGGTTTTTTTGTAGTTAACAATCCATGGCTTGATAGTGCTGCTTGGTTGACACAGTATGATAATAACAGCAACAGTCCATGGTTCAGCAACAGCCCTCACTCAGTCCATACTGAACCTTTGAGTTATCATGTCTAGTATATGCTGAGGTGTAAAAAACTATGATATGATAAATAATCCACTTTCCCTGCTCTTGACCATGTAGAAACATAGAAACAGAGCAAGTCAGAAGGGCCCTCCCGAGCCATCTAGTCTGTCCTCCGGCACCAGCCGGCTCCGCTCACGACATGCCCACCATGTGCATGTCCAGCCTATCCTTGAACACCCGCACTGATGGGGCCTCAACGACTTCTCGTGGAAGCCCATTCCACACCCTCGGGGTCCTGACTGTCAGGAAGTGCTTCCTGGAATCCAAATGGAACCTTGGCTCCCTGAGCTTGGCTCCGTTGGAGTGCGTCCTGCCTTCCTCTGCAGGGGAGAACAGGTCTCTACCCATCTCCATGTGACTTCCCCTCACATACCTGTATGTCGCCAACATATCCCCTCTGAGTCTCCTCTTCTCCAGGCTGAAGAGACCCAGTTCCCTCAGTCTCGCCTCATACAGCATCCCCTGCAAACTGGCCACCAACCTTGTGGCCCTACGCTGCACTGACTCCAAACTGGCTATATCCTTCCTGTAATGAGGGGCCCAAAATTGAGCACAATACTCCAGTTGTGGGCACACCAGAGTCACGTAGAGTGGTAGTAATAACTCTCTCGATCTAGAAGCCACACTTCTGGCTATGCAACCAAGGGTGGTGTTCGCCCTCTTGACCACCGCATCACACTGCTGACTCATGTTTAGCCTGCAGTCAACCAGCACCCTGAGGTCCCTTTCACAAGTGCTGCATTCCAGCCACTTGTCCCCTAACCTGTACTTATGACACCTATTCCTGTGCCCCAAGTGCAGGTCCTTGCACTTATCCACATTGAACGCCATCCTGTTGTCTCCTGCCCACTTCCATAGTCTGTCCAGATCCTTTTGGATCTGGAGTACCTGCTCCTCAGTTGTGGCCACTGCTCCAGTTTTACTGTCATCTGCTAATTTGATCAGCATACTGTTCACCCCTTCTTCCGTGTCGTTAATGAAAAGATTAAACAGGATCGGCCCCAGGACAGAGCCCTGGGGGACCCCGCTTGTCACTGGCTGCCATCCTGATGATTCCCCACTAATGGTTACCTTCTGCTTTCGGAACTTCATTGACATTCCTTTGTTACTGTTATAGTTGTAAAGTCTGATCTTCAAATAATGTTGTGTCAAATGCTGTACATAAAGTTTATTTAGGATCAAAGCCACATACTTTGTGAAGCGACTGTATACAAATTCATACAGCAACCTGCCACATCTATTGTCAACTTGGGGCACTAATCAGCATTTGTACTGGGTCCCTTCCCTTTCATGCCATTTTCCTGCCTCTTCCCACTGCTAAGTGTTATTTGCTTCTAAAGGTTAGGGTGGGGAGAGGGTAGTTTTAAGACCTTTCCTTCATTCCATGATTCTAATTTAGACGGGTTTACTAAAGATAGCTTTTGGTAAAAGGAGGGTGAGGCATTCTAATCACATTTTAAATACCAAGCTGAGCATAATGTGTAGCTCTGTTTTAAGGCTGCAATCCTATTCCAACTTAAGCAGGAGTAAGCCACATTAAATTAAATGTGACTTACTCTTGTCTATACGTATAGTGCATCATTGTTCCCAAGTGGCCAGGACATCTTTGTTCCAGTATATGCAGGAAGACAGTGGGAAGACTTTAAACTGAGCCGGTGGGGCGGGGGGGAGGTTCAGACCCTCCAGTAACGTGTCTGCACTGGACAAGTGTGGGGAGAGGATCAGGGCTCTGGGAGCAGGGCTTTAGAGGTACTGCAGGGACTGACAGGACTCCTACAGAGAGGGGCCAGGTATCAGGGAGGATGGGAGGAAGGAGGAGGCTGGGAACTCCAAGGGAAGGAAGCGGTGGGAAGGAGTTGAGGTGCATGTACACCAATGCTAGGAGCATGGGTAATAAGCAGGAAGAGCTTGAAGCTCTCCCGGGAATAGGAGGGTATGACCTGGTGGGAATCACAGAAACTTGGTGGGATGAAAGCCAAGTCTGGAATGTGAACATAGAAGGGTATCACCTTTTTAGAAAGGACAGGAAGGGAAAGAAGGGTGGGGGCATGGCTTTATATGTCAGGGAAGGGATAGGATGCAGTGAGATAGAACGCAGCACAGATGGTGATTCGGTAGAGGCATTCTGGTTGAAACTTAGGGGTTTTGACGGGGAAAGAGACCTGACAGTGGGCATATGTTATTGCTCCCCAGGTCAACTTGAGACCCTGGATGATGTCCTGACAGGCCAGATTCTAAGGATATCTCGGGGGAGAGACACAATAATTATGGGAGATTTCAGTCTCCTAGATATTACTTGGGAGACTCACTCGGCAGTGACAGCCAGGTCACATTGCTTCCTAGAAGCTATAGAGGGAGGGCTTTACACACAGAGGGTCCGAGAGGCGACGAGGGGGGGAAACATTCTTTACTTGGTCTTGACCAATAGGGAGGAGCTGATAGATGAAGTACAGATTAGGGGAGCTCTGGATGCGAGTGATCACTCCATCCTTTGCTTTGAGATCAGAGGACTGGGGACGTGCAGCAGGTCGAGCACTAGAAGCTGGGACTTCAAGAGGGCCAACTTTGGCCAACTGAAGGCAAGACTGGGGAGAGTCTCCTGGGATAAGTTACTGGAAGGTAAGCGAGTTGAGGAGGGGTGGATGGCTCTCAAAAGGGAGGTTTTGGAGGCGCAAGCCTTGACAATACCTCTAGTCAGTAAGGTGGGGAGGTGGAGGAGAGCACCGCCATGGATGCGGAAGGAGGTGGTTAGAGGGATTAGACGAAAGAGGAACCTCCATAGGAAATGGGTACTGGGGCAAATAGACAAAAGGGTATACCGGGAGGAGGAGGCCCATTGCAGAAGGATTCTTTGCAAGGCTAAGGCTGATTATGAGCTGAGACTTGCCAAGAATATCAAGAGCAACAAAAAGGGCTTCTTTCAGCATGTAAATAGGAAGAGGAAGGGGAGACAGGTGGTGGGACCACTAAATAAGGAGGAAGGAGATCCAGTGACTGATATGAGGGAACAGGTACAGATGCTAAATGACTGTATTGCCTCTGTGTTCTCCCCAAAGCAGGATGGGGGATATCTGCATAGGAGATTAGATGAGGCTGGGGACTTAGGGGCCCAGATTAGAGTCACCCCCCCTTGAAGTCGAGGGGCTCCTCAGGGCATTGGGCATTACAAAGGCGCCAGGTCCTGATGGGTTACACTCGAGAGTACTTAGACGGTTGGCAGGGGTTCTCTCACGTCCGCTGGCCTCCATTTTTGAAGCCTCGTGGAGAGTGGGTGAAGTTCCAGAGACTGGAGGGTGGCATCAGTGGTCAATTTTCAAAAAGGGTAGTAGAAAGGACATGGGGAATTACAGACCACTTAGCCTTACGTCCATTGTAGGAAAAACAATGGAAAGGCTCATAATAGAGAGAAATCTAGTGATGCTAGATAGGGAAGGGAGGCTGACAGCCACACAACACGGCTTCCGCAAAAACAGGTCCTGCCAGACAAACCTTGTGGAATTCTATGACAAGGTTTCGAGATGGCTAGATGGAGGGGATGCAGCGGATGTGGTATACCTGGATTTCAGCAAGGCCTTTGACAAAGTGCCCCATGATATCATAGTGGAGAAACTGAGGAGTTTTGGGATATACCAAAGCACTGTCCGGTGGATTAGGGCATGGTTGACTGACCGAAAGCAGAAGGTAACCATTAGTGGGGAATGTCACATGGAGGTGGGGAGAGACCTGTTCTCCCCTGCAGAGGAAGGCAGGACGCGCTCCAACGGAGCAAAGCTCAAGGAGCCAAGGTTCCATTTGGATGCCAGGAAGCGCTTCCTGACAGTCAGGACCCCGAGGGTGTGGAATGGGCTTCCACGAGAGGTCGTTGAGGCCCCATCGGTGCGGGTGTTCAAGGATAGGCTGGATGTCCACATGGTGGGCATGTCGTGAGTGGACCGGCTAGTGCCGGAGGTCAGACTAGATGGCCTGGGAGGCCCCTTCTGACTTGCTCTGTTTCTATGAAATATTACATGTGGGAAATATTACACTTACAAAAAGCAATAGATCATTTGTATTTTATATGGTGATGGCAACATCGTATGTGAAACTATGTTGTGATCTCCATAACCAGGCCAGCAGGAGATAGATCACTTCCCATGGCAAGCATGAAATTGTATGGGGTGATGGGCAGGGCAGAATGTACTCTATAAAATTCTATGCCAAGAAATTCTTAATCCTGCAAGATGTCATATCATTTAAAATAAACACACATTCTGTTATATTATAAAAGTAATGATGCCTCTCTATGTTATATGGAAGTACATGAAGTTATATGATGCACAGAATATCGTGGAATATCTCCTCTCGATTAGTAGAAATCCTATCCGTGCATATTGCTACAGTGTTTGAGATAGTTATTTTCCTTGTGAATGCTGGGATTCGCCACATGCTGAATTTTCTGTGCCCTGAATCAAGATTTGCACTTACATGAAATGCATAATAGCCTGAGAAAAGTCCTTCCTCTGTCTGTGAGTTCTGCAGTGGCAGCCAGGAGTGTGAAAAGCTGCTGTCTAGATGATTCATTAGCTATATTATGCATTTCCCTATAGATGGTGCTAGAGAGTCATGTGTAAGTCCTCCATTGGTCACAGTATCTCTGAATTCTTGATAGAAAGGAATTTAGCAGAAATAAGGCTACTTAAAAGAAGATTGCCATTTCTAATTGCACCACGTGTTTACAGTTAAGCAATTTTTGTTGTTTTGAACATATATTATGGTCAGGAATAAGGGGAAGCTGCCGTATACCTACTTAGGCCATGATCCATCTAGCTCAGTGTTGTGTACAACAAGGGTGTGGAATTTCAGGCCCTGCCAATCTGGTGTAGTGGATCCAGGCAATCTGGGTTCTAGTCTCCACTCAGCCATGGAGCAAACTGGGTGACTTTGGGCCAGTCACAGACTCTCAGCCCAACCTACCTCACAGGATTGTTGTGGGGATAAAATGGAGAAGGAGAGATGATGTAAGCTTCCTTGAGCCCTTTGTAGGAAAAAGGCAGGATACAAATCACAATATAAATAAATAAATATAAAACATAGGTACTAGCATTTTGACACTTCAACCCAGTCTTTCTGACTGCTTCTCCCAACTATATTTAGAAGTATGCAGGACAAAATTGGAACTGCTTTGGATAAATTCCCACTGATAAAGCAACAAACCCTCAACACCACCTTTTGAGATCTATTTGACACATAGGAGTTGAGCTACTGGAGTATTATTCACTGCCAACCTAGCCCAACTGGGAAAGATACTATAGTCAATGGAAGTACAACGCAGTATAATCACAGGTACCTGTCTATCCATCCAAGTAAGTGATCCAACCAAGCTGCTGACACAGTTTCTATTTCACAGAAGTTGGCCTGAAGCCATTTTGATAAGAATCTAAGTAAAGTTACATTTAAGGGATGAAGAAGGCGAAAAAGCAGTGATCAAATTTCAAACAGTGAGTAGTATATCCACAGTATAAAATAAACACCTCACTTTAATGCAGTAAGAATGGGTGGGTGAGGGGAAACCAGTAGATCTTGATTTCATTCAGTTTAAATTGCTGGTAATTGGCAAGGTTTGCCCCATGTGAGCTGAACTCACCTCAATTCAGCTCAATATAATTTGAGCCAGTGTGGTGTAGTGGTTAAGAGCATGGGACTGGGACTGGGACTCAGAGGATCTGAGGATCTGAATTTCCCACACACATTTTGTCTGTGCCAAACTTTAGTTATTCACTCTAATCATCTCCACTGCTATTTTTAGACTCATTTAACATTTCTGTCAGCTTACCTGGTCCTGTTGAAAAGCAGAAAGGGAGCTGAATGTCATCAGCTCATCAACATATTGATGATGCCTAGTGATACTCTGTGTTTCTCTACTAGAAGAGAGGCCCAGAGTCAAGAGCAGAAGGTTTGCCCCATGTGAGCTGAAATCACCTCAATTCAGCTCAGTATAATTTGAGCCAGTGTGGTGTAGTGGTTAAGAGCATGGGACTGGGACTCATAGGATCTCAGGCCTAATCTGGCACACCAGTTTCCCTGAACTGGCTTGCAGGGTTTCCAGGGTTCCCTGTGGGAGGGACGTGGCCAGGAGGAACCTATTTCCATAGATATTCCAGTCTGAGATCAGCAATAAGAGTAGGGGTGGTGGAGGATTCTTTCCTCTATACTCCTCACTGGTCAGACCTCACCTGGAATATTGTGTCCAGTTCTGGGCCCCAAGTTTTAGAAGGATGTAGGTCATGGGTCCTCAAACTAAGGCCTGCGGGCTGAATCCAGCCCACCATTCTCATTTAACCAGCCCACCCCACAGGTTTTGCACTCGTGGGCACACGGCTTGCTCGCGAGGAGGTCATTTTGGACTCACTCAGAGAAAACGATCTGCTCTCGAGCAAGCCGGCGCCTTGCACCCCCCCGTCCCCACCTTGCCTCGCATGCACGCGCATGTGCACGCACCCTGCCCCCACACCGGTCCATTCCCCCCCCCCACCAGCACCACCTTGGAGGCCCGTGCCCACCACTGGCACCTGTTAATTGGCCCCCAGTTGAAAAAGTTTGAGGACCCCTGATGTAGGTAAATTAGAAAGGGTCCAGCAGAGGGCAACAAAAATGATCCAGGGTTTGTAAACACTGCCCTATGAGGAAAGACTGTGAGAACTGGGCATGTTCAGCCTTGAGAAGAGAAGACTGAGGAGGGCAAGTTATCCCTCTATAAGTACCTCAAAGGCTGTCACAAAGAGGAAGGTCAAGATCTCTTCTTGCTAATGCCAGAATGTAGGACACGGAATAATCGATTCAAGTTGCGGCAACTCAGATTCAGGCTGGACATCAGGAAAAGCTTCCTCATGGTCAGAGCAATATACCAGTGAAACTAGCTGCCTAGAGAGGTTGTGGGCTCTCCCACACTAGAGACATTCAAAAAGAAACTGGACAGCCATCTGAGTGGGATGGTGTGACGTGGTATCCTGCAACAACAGGGGTTGGACTCGATGGCCTTCATGGCCCCTTCCAACTCTACTATTCTATGATTCTATGATCCTTACATTGGCAGAATTGATTTGTGTAGTATCCACACTGGGATGCCAGAACTCTGCAGATGTGGGGAAGAGCAGCTGCAGAGTCCCTTTCTTTTATTTATTTATTTATTTATTAAAACATTTTTATGCCGCCCCATTCGCCGAAGCCTCGGGGCGGCTTACAACAAAAAATTAAAATAGCATTTTAAAATATATACAATAAAATACAAATATATAATATAAAACATACACTATAAAACAAGCCGCCCTGGCCAAATAAAATCAATAATATTACCATTTAAAATACTGCTTAAATAAAAAGGTCTTCGCCTGGTGCCGAAAAACAAATAACGACGGCGCCAGGCGGACCTCTCTGGGGAGCGCATTCCATAACTTAGGCGCCACCGCTGAGAAAGCCCTCCTCCGAGTAACCACCC